ATGTAAAATCTTCATATATTGATACAATGTTAACAATTGCGGTCTTGTATTAAAAGAAAATTGTCCTATATATTTCAAGATTTGTTCCTGTAAAAGGAAAGTTTATTTTGTATATTGTAATCAGTAAATATGAGAAAGGTAGGGTATTGTGTCCTGTATTTTATGGTAAGTATGTTTATAGTTTAGGTGTTTATAATTTAGTTTCTATTAGCATCATCTGTAATTTGTTTGTAAAAGACAAGTCTGTATATTCATATCAATTAATATACACAAAGAGTCTCTTCAGAGAAACCTGAGACTCTTTACATGGTATTAGAGCTAAATTCATCTTAGCTGTGTCCATTCCTCGTCTCTAAAGTATTGTCGCCGCTTTTCAAAACGAGTCTGTTGTTCACCCATTCAATACAACTTATGTCGAGTCGTGTTTCGATTATCTGATTTGTTTCTCTGCTAGTCGTGTTTCGACTCTCTAATCTGTCTCTATACCGAGTTGTGTTTCGACTCTCTGATCTTTTTCAAGAGTTCCTAAAGCCATGTGTTCTTGAGGCTTGTTGATTCGCCGTTGCTTTTTGTACTAGTTGATCAAGCAATCTGATTATGCACCTGAAGATCCAATTGCTTGTTTCCATGACTTAGTGCTTAAACTCCAGCTGCTCGCTTTCATAGCATCTTGAGTTCGAGAGGGAATGTAAAACGAAAGTATATATTGTATATCCGATTAATATAGAAGGTATATATTGTAATCAGTAAATATGAGAAGGATAAGATATTGTGTCATATATTTTATGGTAAGCCTATGTATAGTTTAGGTGTTTATGCTTTAGTTTCTATTAATGTCATCAGCAATTTGTCTATAAAAGACAAGTCTGTATATTCATATCAATTAATAGACACAAAGAGTCTCTTCAGAAAAACCTGAGACTCTTCATAGTTCCGTCTTTCCCTCTCATTCAAACCAATGTGCTTAGAGAGAGACGTCACACTCCATTTTATGCAGGTACAAGAGATTGAGGGAGGGAGAGGGAGTGTCAATGCTACAAGACATGATTACATGAAAAAAAACATAAAATAATGATAGCACAATAGTAAAACTACTTTTTTTTGGAAAAATATCTACATCATACACACCCTTCTAATGGTTGAGATCTCGTAAGGGAAACTCCAACATCTACGAATTACTCTTGTATTTTATTTTTTATTTTTATTTAAAAATGATTATTATCTAAATTTTGGAGGGCATGGGTATTTTTATAAACATAACCAAATTAAAATTTTTTAAAAAATGTTTTAAGTTATATTTGACCAAAATATCCTTAAATTTATTTTGAGCAATAGTTTTTATTCAAAATAAATTTTATTCAATTCAGGGAATAAAAGTGAAGCATAGGACCAATTTCATATTTATATATTCTTAAATAATAAATAAATAAAAATGAAATTCAATTTTGATTCTTGGATGTGGATGACTCAATCTGAGTCATCAAAAGGTGCTTGTGCACCTTGTAAGCGTCCTTAGCATGTGGATGCAATACCAACCCTTTTTATTTTTGGGTAGATCAGTGGGAATTATAGGCCTCTACCTGTTTTTAGAAAGAGTAATTTTATTTTTATTAAAGTGTTAGTAAGAATGGAGGCCATGACCTTTAACTGAGGCTCACGTGGTACTGCCACCACGATCCTAGACCCATTCTCTAAAACTCTTTAATTTTGAAGGATGAATTTTAAGGTGATTGGAAACTTCATGCCCCTAGAGGACAATTGTAAAAGTTAAAGTGGGCCGGGGCCTGGCCCAACCTAGCCCTAACAAGGTCGGGCGATCAAAAAACAAAAGAAAAAACAAGAAAAAAAGAGGGCTAGGCTGAGTTGAACCAGGCAAGCACTAGTCCTAGCCAGGCCTGCAGGCCACAAATTATGGCCCAAGCCCTATTTTTTTGGGGCTAGCTCGGGTCGACCAACCCATTGCCAGCCCTAGAGAATTGGGTAAGAGTTTCACATCAAGAATGTTAAAGGGGAAAAAATAGGAAAGGAAAACATCCATGTTAAAAAAAATAAAAAATAAAAAAATAAAGGAACACATCAAAGAGAGAATTCCTTGTTGCTATAAAAAAAAACTTCTACATTTCTTCGAAAATCCACAGACTAACTGTCAACTTTGTGTTGTCCAATTGGCCACCCTGTACGTACCTTGTTCTGCTAAGGTGGCACATATGTGGTTGTTCCCTACCAGGTTAACGCAATCACTATTCTTTCCAGAAAATACGAAAGAAAATTACTCACACAATATTGAAAATGACCCAGAACCTTTGCACCATTAAAATGTTCCAAATTTCAACCCAAACTTGTCTCAATTTTGAAACTTCGACGATACTCATATGAATTTTATCATATTGTTATTATTGTTAATTTTGGGGGTTGGTATTGCGCCCACAGGATGTGGATGATGTTAATTTTGGGGGTTGGTATTGCGCCCACAGGATGTGGATGATGGTAGCAATGGGCTGGCTAGATTGGGCTGGCTAGATTGGTCTGGCCCTGCCATCACGGCCTGGCCCAAATTATGGCCTGGGCCACAAAAGGTAGCCCAGAGGCTGGGCAAGTTGGCCTGAGGGTAGGCCGAGGCCGGGCATGGGCCACAAAATGTGGTCCGAAGGCTGGGCCATAGGAAACCGCGGTCCAAAGGTAGGCCGGGGCCGGGCTTGACCCTTGTTTCTTCTTTTTTTTTTCTTTTTTTTTTTCTTGCTTTTGTTTTACTTTCAATTTATTTTGCCCGGCCCCACTTGCCTCTGCTAGGGCTAGGACAGAGCCTGGGCGCCCCTATAGGGACTAGGGCCAGGGGCGGATCGGCCTAGGCCCTACCTGTTGCCACCCCTAGTTGTGACACTTAAAAGGTGCATAAGGACTTTTTAATGGTTCAGATTGAATCAAGCTCATAAATAATAAAAAAGGTAAGGAAAAATAAGAGTAAGAATAAATATTAAGATTCATACTAATACATTTATAACTATTTAAATAAAATATTTTTAATCATTTTATTTAGGTATATTTATACAAATAAACATATGCTAAAGAATTTAGATAAATATCTTATTCAAATAAAAATAAAAATATGGGAATGATTCTTGTCCTTTGGATGTGGCCTCGTGAAATCTCCAACTCAATGTGGACGGGCTACTTTTCCTAATTTTGAAGTGACTTAAAACTGAATTATTCCCTTCTCAAACCAACTTACCAGAGTTTAAAGACGTTGGCATCAAACCACAAAGAACTAAAGATTATCCTATATCTGATCAACAAGAACAAGGTAATTGAATCTTTTTTTGCTTTTTGTTTATGAATGAGTTAGTGCTGTTTTCTAACTATTGAAATTCAAATTTCCCGTGCAAGTCGTCAGATAATAGTAAGAAAGAGAAAGGCCATTTGACTTGTTCCATGAAAGTTTTACTCAGCTATGGGGAGTATATTCGCCCAAGATGCAACATTTTGTGGATATATTTTGTTTTAGAGGAAACCTATCATCATCATAGCTATTTCTCAACTAATTGGGTCGGCTACATGAATTTTGGTCCAATCATTCTATACTATGAAGGGTCGTACCCCAAGGGAGACATTACAAGTCCTCGTATCTTTTCTCGCTACTTTCAACCATATCCTTTTGGGCCTATCTCTTACTCTTTTTTAGCTTTCCGCTTAAATTAACTCATACCCTTCTAATAGGTGTTGTACTGGGTTTGCGCTGCATATGGCCAACCCATCTAAATCTAGTTTCTCTCATCTTATTGCCTATTGGCGCCATATCTAAATTCTCTCGAATGTTTCATTTCGAATTCTATCCCTTCTTATCTTGCCACTCATCCATCTCAACATCATCATCTTAGCTGCATTCATTCTATAGGTATGTTGTTTTAGAGGACATTAAGTACTTTAAGGACAATAGGAGCATCCCATAATTCTGGATCTAATGGAAACCTAGTCAACATCTTTTTTTGGGGTGAGTTCGTGGGGATACCAGGCACCTACCCATTTTATTAAGATACCAAAAAGTTGTTACATGAACATATCTTATATAGCCCTTGGCAAGGGACACTAGTAACATCCGATAAAATGAAAGGTGTTACAAAATCTGGAGGATGAGCAGACCACAATGTTGCTTCATTCATAAAAACTGCTACTTTGACCAGAGAATCAGCAGCCGTATTGGTCTCCCTATAAGCATGTTGGATGTTCCAGTCAACTTGTTTTTCGAAACCTAGCTTTACCTACTTTTTGTTCGCTATTTTGCAGAGTAAAGGTCCTAGTGGAACTGTGGCGGCCATGTCTCAGTGGATTTATAAGTGAAGTTGGATATTAGTAATCTTTTACTTTGCCTTGGCTTCCTCCAATACCTTGTTTTGACCTCAGTTAAAGCATGAAATTTAGACTATAAACAAGCTTTTCAGTATTATTTTCATTAATAATGTAATTAGACTTTAAATTAGGTTTTAAAGGACCCTGAAGCAAAAGATTACATCTATTCACTTAGTTTGTTTTTTTTTTTTTCTTATTCTCTAATGGTTTAGATTTGTTTGATTTTGTTGGCTGCTTTTCCCCTGTTAGATCCAAGATTCATTAAGTTACCTAGAATAGCGCCACAACAAACACAAATTATTTGTAATAATATTAAATTACACAAAAGGGAATTATTTGACATTTATTCCCTTTCCGAAGAGTATAAACCTTGGTTGGATGACTACCCGTTAGAGCTTTCAAGTTTCAAATACGTTATTTGCCTCTAAATGTTTGAACATAAGTGTATTAGGGATTGTTAAACTATGAGACCGTTTATCTTTGTTGCAAGGATGCCACAATTGCAACTACCCATTAGATTTGAAATTGGATGGCTTGGGGTATGTCACGAAGTCCGAGAAATTTCTTTTTAAACTTTGAGTCTAGTCAATAACACACTTACAATCATTTGATTTAAAATCTGACGGACGAGAGTGATTGCGACCTCCTTGTATAAATAGTAAATGATCTCTTCATATATTTTTTGAAAATATAATTAAGGAAACAATGAGCATTGAGATTAATAAAATCAGAATTATAACCATCATATGCTATTTGAAATAAGGAGTGTTTGGGCACCAAAAGGCCCATCATGTTTGGGGCTCCAAACCTTTCTCAAAAGAGCATAAAGGCATTCTCAGAATTAGAGGGGCAAAAATTGTATCATTCTAAGAACCAAAAAAAAAGGGTCACTCATTGTTTTCCATGAGTACTACCTCATCACCATTTCCTTCTTCTTGAGTGCAACCATCAGCCTCTACGTTGAAAGGAATGCGAGGGAAATGAGCCCACTGCAAATATTTACATATTCATAAGAACAAAATCCTGAATATAGGAGTATATCTCTAAAGAATCATGAAAGGAATAGTATAAAAACGTTTCCAACTTTGAAATTGTGAAGGAGGCCACCATTATCAACCCTTGATGACTCTGGGAAAAGAAGAATAAAGAACACATCGCCTTCATTAAGCCAATAGTTAGAACCCAATGTACTACTAAGTGATTGGGAAGGGCCTTGGGAGGTATTCATGATTTTATCATTAAAAAACTATATGAAACAAGCTAAATTATAGATATTTTCTTTGCATGTTGTTTTCTTCAATAAATATATATATATATATATATATATATATAGATGGGTGCCAATATGACATCTAGACATAAGCACCCATCATTAGAGTTTGTCTTCTTCTTTTTAAATAATAACTTGTATGTGTACTCAATATTGGTGATTTAAGAATTGTCGATTTGACTTAGAATTACTTGAGGCAGATGACAATCAGGATAAGGAGATGTCGAAAGGGAGGGATAGTGATAAGGCTACAATGTGAGGAGTGGTGTTTGGTACTGAAGTTGTGATGAAAATGCACTAACATTTTTGGCTGCTGCGCTGAAAGCTTCCTTGTGGGTTATAGTGGGTTCTCTGGCCTTGAGCCTTTGTATCTCTTCCCTGTAATTTATTAAACATATTTGATAATAATAGTTAAAGGCAATAATAATACAATCTCTCTGGAAATAAATAGTATTTAACCACTGATTCTTAGACAAGTAACATGCGATGGATGTGATTAACCTGTGATGGTTTATATTATATCCCTTTTAGTGATTAGCCATAGGAAGAAAGGAAACTGCTTAATAGCGGATTTAATGAAGAATTAGACTTAGTTTAGTATATTCGTTTAATGTGCACATGGGGTCTTGTATCTTACTTTATAAACCGATTATACGCAGATGGAGCCCTGTGCCGCTTCTCTGGAGCTGCAAATGTGTGGGAAAAAAAACGTTACAACTATCTCAGGTTTATAATGTGTGTCGATAGATAGAGTATGAACCATAATACGAGAAATAAAAAATAAAATATACACGCCATAAGAATACAAAGATTTACTTGATTGTACTAAACCATGCGCTCTGATACCACTTAATTGCCCTCTTATACTCACGTTTATTCACATGTTTGGGAGGGGTGATTTCATCTTTTTTTGGAGATGATGTGTTTATTGGTGTATCGATGCGAAGTTCTTGACTCGCCTGAGACAGGGAGAGAGAGAGAGTTGGCACCTTCGCAAGAAAGAGAACTTCAGGCACAAAGTTTTTGACAATATTAAAATTTTTTGTAATATTGTCCCAAAAAAAGAAAAACACTAAGGTTTGCAAATAGAGTAAAGAAAGCAAAGATGAGGGTAAAAAACAGTGAGATGACCTGATTAGTGAGGGAAGAGATGAGGTGTAGAGGGAGAAAAGAGGCTCTGAGCTTCATGTTCACAGACAGAAGATTGTTGCAGTGACCGCATCTCACTGTTACCATTTTCAACATGCTACTACATGGTACACTTACCTGCATGCATGCCTCATAGCAGTGAGTATAAAATGATGTTTATGATGATGATGATCATGGTATACGACGTTGATGATGATGTATTATTGATGATGGGTGAAGAATGGATGGTGATTGGGAGAGAGGGGTTTTGAATACCAGTAGAATGGTGTCGCAGAAGGTGCACTGGACATAGCAAAGCTGCTCTGGAAACTCAAATATGTGCTCACATGAAGACATCCTTTCTTTCTCTCCAAAACCAAAACTGTAAATTTATTGTTACTGATCGAGAAACATGTGTAATATATATACCATATAGTAGAGAGAGAAAGGAGGCCAGGAGGGGTGTTGCCATAAATTTAGCGTGAGAGAGTAGGAGAGTTGTTTCCATAAATAGAGGGAAGCTTTGGGTTACACGTTTCTTTTAGCAGTTGAATGGTACAGAAGGCAGATTTTCATGGGAGAGAAACTGAGTCCTCTAGAGTTTGGTGCTTCACTTGTTGTTTTCATATTATAACTCCATCTCTGATAACTCTGTAAATCATATAGTCATCTGAAACAAGTTTTTTTCTCTCTCTCTCTCTCCTAACTAAAAATTCATTGTTAATACTTTCTCTCTCTATAAACCTCTCAAGCAATAACTCCATGTCTAATAACAATGTAACTCTCTCTCTCTTTCTCAATATTTAAATAATTAAATATTTATATAGAACTAGAAAGCAGTCTGTCATGTTTGAGATCGTCTCTCTCGCTCTCAATATTTGAACCCTCGATGCTTGGTCTAAAAAACATTTGACTCTTAGATTCTCTTTCTCTCTCTAGAAACCCCCATTTCAGTCGGGAACTCACTGTCGGTCACGGTTCCTAATTCAGGAACTATTTCCCTCTCCATAAACTACTTCACTTCAGACACTCCCCCAAAACCCATGGACCTTTCTCTCTCTCTCTCATATCTACATATATATACATATAATTTTGGGGGTTCCTGCAAAAGGCAGGGTGTAGGGTCTAATCTTTTTGCCATGTTTGGAGAGAGGGGAAGGTTACTAGAAGCCCTGGTTGCAGTGGAAAACTATCATAAGTTCTTTCTAGGAAAGGCATCCATTTTGTCTTTCCTCTGAGCTGATCCTTGGGCTTTTGCTTTGGAATGATAAATTTTACTATTGTTCACCGCTTTGGATTTTGTGTGAGTGAATGAATAGCCAGCTTTTAATGGCCTTATTTACTCCTGTTCTCTTTGTGTCGTTTCTTTTTGCCTCAAAAATGGTCTAATCTTTGTGCATAGAATTTGGAGCCCACATATTTTTCTTCACACTTTCCATGGTCTTGGTGCGTTAAATGCACATTTTTTGTTTCTAGGACAGAGGAAAAATGGTGGGTTCATTAGATGATTAGAGCATCGGATGACTCTCTTGCCTTACTACAAGCATGTATGAGCCAGTAATTAATGGAGGTTAGTGCAAACATTCCCCCTCTCTCTCTCTCACATCAAATGATCTGGGCTGTAAAAGATCACATGGTTCTTTAAGTAGATGGCCTTCATTCTAAGGGCTTGTTTGGTTCATGCATAAGAGTTTGTATATGTAAAGCAGTTTTCATATGTTAACAGTTTCATATGCAAAAAATTTCCAATCTGTTTTTCCATGTTGGTTCACATACATTTCTTATGTTTGGTAACCCATTGGTAAACTATCTCCCAATCTCTCTTACTATCTAAAAATCCATTTTCTTTCTCTAGAAACTAAATCTCTCTCTCTAAAAATCAATCTCTCTCTTTTTCTCTCTAAAATACAATCTCTTTATATCTTTAAAAACTCATTCTCTCTCTAGTAATCGAATTTCTCTTTCTCTCTAGAAAATAATCATTCTCTCTAGAAAACCTATCTCTGTTTATCTCTCTAAAAATTCATTCTCTCTCTAGAAACCCAGTCTCTCTTTCTCTCTCTGAAAATCCAATCTCTCTTTCTCTCTCTAAAAACCCATTATCTCTTAAAAACCCAATCTCTCTTTCTCTCTCTAAAACTCCAATATCTATTTTTAGAAACTCAATGTCTCTTTCTCTCTCTAAAATCTTTTCTCTTTAGAAACAGTCTCTCTTTTTCTCTAAAACCGATTCACTCCCTCTAAAAACTCAATATCTGTTTCTCTCTAAAATCTGTTCTCTCCAAAAACTCAATCTCTCTTTCTCTCTCTAAAACATATTCTCTCTCTTGAAATCCAATTTCTCTTTCTCTAAAAATATATTCTCTCTATAGAAACCCAATCTCTCTTTCTCTCTCTAAAATCCGATTCTCTTTATAAATCCAATATGTCTTTTTCTATGTAAAAACCCAATCTCTTTCTACAAACCCAATCTCTCTCTCTCTCTTTAAACCTATTCTCTCTACAGAAATCCAATCTCTCTTTCTCACTTTAAATACCCATTCTCTCTCTAAAAACATAATCTCTCTTTCTCACTCTAAAAACTAATTTTCTCTCTCCAGTGTTACCAGTTATTTGGTATCAGCATAGTATGACTAAGTGGTGGGGAACGGTCGTTTGTTAGCATAGACCGGGTATTGCCTCCTATCTGAAGCTAAGATGGAGCGTGAGTGGAACCAACCCACAATCATGGAGCTAGGGTTGTCTAAGTAACTTGGTATAGGAAATATTAACATCAATCACATGGAATTAGGCATATGCATTCAGGTCATCGATCTTAAGATAGAGATGTATAGTGCCAGTCAGGCTTTCTCCATAGTGGATGAATCCTTGGACCGTAAGATGTAAGGGCCGAAGGTGTTCAACTCCCAACCCAATGCGGGTGAGAACCCTCTTTGGTATTATTATTGCAGGACCTCCGTTGTGCATGATCTTGTTCACCGATTGAGCATGCAACTGATCAGTCATGAAGAGAGGCCAGTTATGGAATCTATCCCCCCAGTTGGAGGTCACCATTAGAGAAGGTGACGACCATGCAATTGTCAAGGATGGCCGGATCTACTTCGACCCGCTTGACTTCGGTTTCATAATCTTCGGCCTAGGCAAGAGCTTGTCTTAGGGCCATGTGGAAGTCTTTGGACAACATAAGGGCATCGTAAATGCTCAACAAGGCCGCCAGCCTCTTAAGGTGTCCAATCACATCATATTTGATCTTCTCTTCATCAGAACTAGGTACACCTGGGTTCATGGCTGGCTTTGAAGGTATAGGAGGTGGTGGGTTCACCCCTCTCGTAGAAGGGATGGTCGTAGCCAATGAAGGAATTTGAGGAGTCAACTGATTGGGCTGCGTAGTCATAGAGGGAGCTGGCAAAGCTGGATACCTTGAGAGGCTCGATTTCCCAGGGTACTTGACTAAGGCAGGTGGCCCAGGATACTTTAGGATTGTTGGTTGCTTTGGCCTTTGAGGACGTTGGAGGCTTTTTCCTCAACTTGGTCAACCTCCGTGGTTCTGCTTCCTACTATGATCCGCACCACATGGAAAGCTTCATAGGAAGGGGTGACTTCGTCTTTACCTTCTTCTTCTCTTGACATTTTCTCCCACTCTTCTTCGTTAGGCCAGGGACCTTTCTGGGTTTCGGATTCCAGAAGCATTCGATAAGCTGATTGAGAGTGGGATAGGGTTCCCTCCTATTAGTGAAGCCCATGGCACCACCAATTCTTAGGAGACATGCTTTCTAGATCGTCGTCTTCCTTATCTGCTTGCGATGTCACCAACTGGTATTGTGTTGTTTCAACTTCGCATTAAGGCCCTCAAAATTTGGGCATTCCAAGGTGAATCCTGAGAAAGGAGCTCCGTAAGGGAAAGAGTTTGAAGAGTCGGGGATACAGAGGTGGAAAGTGCTTTTAGGGTCATCACTCATATTGGACCATGCCAGGTAGCTTTTGCAGTCATCACCCGTATTGGACGCCAAGAGGTTTTTAATGTCTTCACTATCAATGGACATGATTGAGGATCTTTTAACATTGTAACCCTTGTTGGACAAAGCCAAGTAGCTTTTTACGTCATCAGAAGATCTAGATAGTTCTGGGGGACTTTTTAAGTCATCACCCATATGGGACATGAAGAGGCTTTTAACATTTTCACTCTCATTGGACATAATAGGGGATCTTTTAATGTTATAACCCTTGTTGGATGATATTAAACAACTTTTTACATCATCAGCAAATCTAGATGGTTCTGAGTGGCTTTTAGTGTCGTCACTCATGTTGGAAGGATATAGGGAATCTTTAAGGTCTTTACCCGATTGGACCAAGTTGAGGAGCTTTAAATGTCATCACCTATCTTGGACAGATTGGGGGTGCTTTTAGAGTCTTCACCCATGTTGGATATGTTTTGGTTGCTTTTAAGGTTGTCACCCATGTTGGACCATTGAGGGGTGCTTTTAGAGTTTTCGCCCACATCGGACTTAGCATGAATGGTATAAGATGAGGCTACATCACAGGTGGCTGTTTGGGATTCTTTCATGTGAGCGGTTAGTTGGTTGGTTGGTTGGCGATATGAGCATTTATCGCAGGATGAAATCATAGAGAGTGGGAAGAAGAGGGATTGGTGGAAGAACCACATATTCGACTGGTGCCTGAGGGGTTCTCCTTTTTCTGTGAAGGGCTCTTCGGGCCTTTTTGTTCTTCCCCTTCTTGGTAGTGGGGAAGGGTTGATGTTTACGTCATGGCATGGATGCCATGTTCTGTCACTGAATTGCTTCCCTCTTAAGGGCCGTTAGTTTGTCTTGCATGTGGTAGACATGCCAAGGATTGGACATGGAGATGGGCTGTCAAGAGTAATAGACTCAAGGGGTACATATTCCCATGGGGTTGCCTCTTCAGTGTGACGACGGAGCGTCAAGTTCGGAATTTGAGAGGAGTAATCGCACTATGAGTGTTGGAGTGCCTAGTCGGTCATGGCTAGCTGGCCACTAGTTATGAGTCACCCTAGAATGAGCATAAAAGCTCGGGACTGGGATAGATCGTGCCCCTTTTTTTGGTGGTAGGGTTACCAGAGACCTTCACGCCCTCGAGCAACATACCTCGGTTCCTTGGGCGGACAAGGGAAAAGCATGCCTTCCTCCGCTAGGACTTAGAATACTATAGAGAGGACACTGAGTTGTAATTCCCTTGGTCGGGCATTACGGGGCCGATCTTGCTTGACAGTGATCGCATGAGAAGCCTCGGCTGCTTCGATGCCTTTCTTGATGCCATCAAGATGGGTCTGCCTCTATTGGATTAAGGCTTCGATGTGATCTTCAATAAGGAAACAATCCTTAGCCACATGTTCCAGC